GAGGTACTGATTCATCTGACCACAGTACAGGTTTCTACTGTGTGATGGCGCCTCGGGACACTGTTAACATAGGGCTTCGTTTTGGCACAGTACAGTTTTAACTGGCATTTGTAGATGTAGCTATGTATTGTGGTACTTGATAAAAGTGTGCCAAAGTAGTCTAGAGCCCATGTGGTGATATTGCTTATAGATGAATGAAGATTCTTAATGTTGTGCTACCAGAGGGATCGGAGATCACGGTTGTTCAGTTTAGGATAGACCGTTCTTGGATGCTGCTTTTGTACCAAATCAATCACTTGTTTGCATGACCTGTTTCAAATAACATCATTTAAGCTATTTACCTAATTAGTAGACTTAAACTGCTCCTGTCCCGACTTTTTTGGAATTTGTTGCAGGTTTGAATGACAGGAAAGGATGTATATTTACAAATTAAATAAAGCTGAGCAGATAAAACAGCGTCAAAAATTCCTTGAGATACTGATTCATCTGACCACAGTACAGGTTTCTACTGTGTGATGGTGCCTCTGGACACTGTTAACATAGGGCTTCCTTTTGGCACAGTACAGTTTTAACTGGCATTTGTGGATGTAGCTATGTATTGTGGTAATCGACAAATGTTTGCCAAAGTAGTCCTGAGCCCATGTGGTGATATTGCTTCTAGATGAATGAGGATTCTTGATGCAGTGCCGCCTGAAGGATTAGAGATTATCGTTGTTCAGTTTAGGAATAGACCTTTCTTGTATGTTGCTTTTGTACCAAATCACAATTACAATCATCTGTTGACATCACCTGTTTTAAATCATACCATTATTTAGGCGGTTTACATGATCACCTTGCTTAAACTGCTCCTGTCCCGACTTTTTTTGTAATGTGATGCAGGCCTGAAAGACAGGAAAGGATGTATATTTACAAATTAAATAAAGCTAAGCAGATAAAACACAGCGTCAAAAATTCCTTGAGATACTGATTCATCTGACCTCAGTACAGGTTTCTACTGTGTGATGGTGCCTCTGGACACTGTTAACATAGGGCTTCCTTTTGGCACAGTACAGTTTTAACTGGCATTTGTGGATGTAGCTATGTATTGTGGTACTTGATAAAAGTGTGCCAAAGTAGTCTAGAGCCCATGTGGTGATGTTGCTTATAGATGAATGAGGATTCATGATGTTGTGCTACCAGAGGGATCGGAGATCATGGTTGTTCAGCTTAGGATAGACCGTTCTTGGATGCTGCTTTTGTACCAAATCAATCACTTGTTTGCAAGACCTGTTTCAAATAACATCATTTAAGCTATTTACCTGATTAGTAGACTTAAACTGCTCCTGTCCCGACTTTTTTGGAATTTGTTGCAGGTTTGAATGACAGGAAAGGATGTATATTTACAAATTAAATGAAGCTGAGCAGATAAAACACAGCGTCAAAAATTCCTTGAGATACTGATTCATCTGACCACAGTTCAGGTTTCTACTGTGTGACGGCACTTCTGGACACTGTTAACATAGGGCTTCTTTTTGGCACTGTACGGTTTTAACTGGCATTTGTGGATGTACGTAACTCAGTACATGACAAAGGTTTGCTAAAGTAGTCTAGAGCCCATGTGGTGATATTGCTTGTAGATGAATGAGGATTCTTGATGCAGTGCCGCCTGAAGGATTAGAGGCAGTGCTGCCTGAGGGAACATGGTTGTTCAGATTAGGCTTGCGACCTTGTCCTTTATTCGCTGAAAAGGCACTGATTGTAAATGTAAGAATTGCTACTTTTTTTTTAAATCTTTGTTTTCCATTCTGTCCAACTTTTTCTTATTTTTGGTTGTATATTTTATCCCTCTTTCTCCAGTTCTCTGGCGTGTTTGTGTGTGTGTATAGTGTGAAAGATGCAGGTAGGCACCTTTGCCTTGGGCTCTGGTCTCAGACACACTGAATGGCAGTAACTCCGATCGCTTTCGGCTCATTTGTTTGGTCATTAATGTCGTCCCGCAGGACACAAACAGCAAATGGATTTGCAGCGTGTGTTGACAAGAGTACAAAGTAGCTGGTGAATACTTGTACTTTTTAGTGTGTGTGTGTGTGTGTGTCTGTGGGTGTGTGTTTAAAATGCACTGGCTGCTGTAGGCCAGAAACAAACTCTAGTACAAAACACAGAGGTATGTGGATTCCGGTCCAGTGGATTGAAAATGTGCATTACACATGCGGAGTGTGCATCGTTAGGTTGCTTTAGCAATAGCAAACTCACTTCTGTAAAAGTTGCTTTCAAAAACCCTTGCCTTTTAACCAATACCTTTTTTTTTTTTTGTCTATAGGTTTGTTTATTTTAATGTTTGGTTTATTATGTATGTATTGTGTGGATTTTAATTGTTTGGTTTGTATGTGTTTGCTTTAAAACATTTATTTTTCTTTATCAGACTAATCAAGCTAATATTGTTTTTTATTTTACGTTGAAACATTTTGTTTGAATGTTTGGTTTTGCTTTTGAGTCAGTTTTTGTTTTGTCTTTTGATTCGTTTTATTTTGTGATTTAGTTTGCTTTGCTTTGTAGCTTGGAACCATTTGTTTTGGTTTATTGTTATTGCATTCAAATACATGTATTATATATATATATATATTATATATATTTTAATTTTGTGTTTGGTTCAGTATGTATTTACTGTAGATTTGGTTCTGTTTTGAGTTGGATTTGGTTTGTTTGGTTTTTGTTGTGGCATATTATGGTATTGCTTGCTTTACAACATTTATTTTTCTTTATTAGACTTTTTTACATAAAAACGTTTTGTTTGAATGTTTGATTTGGTTTTGTTTCGTCTTTTGTTTTCTTTTTAATTCAAGTTGGTTTGATTAGTTTTATTTTGTGATCTAGTTTGGTTTGCTTTACTTTGGAACCAATTGTTTTGGTTTATTATTATTGTTGCTTTTAGGTTTTGTTTTGTTTTTAGTTTGATTTGGTTTGTTTGGTTTTCATTGTAGCATTTTATTGTCTTGTTTTGTATTGTCTATTTTTCTTTATCAGAAATAGTAAAAACTAATATTATTTATTTTAGTTTTGTTTTAGTTTATTATGTACAGCTGAAGTCAGAATTATTAGCCCCCCTGAATTATTAGCCGTCCTGTTTATTTTTTCCCCTAATTTCTGTTTAACGGAGAGCAGATTTTTTCAACACATTTCTAAACACAATAGTTTTAATAACTCATCTCTAATAACTGATTTATTTTATCTTCGCCATGATGACAGCAAATAATATTTGACTAGATATTTTTCAATATATAGTATATATATATTCTATACAGTTTAAAGTGACATTTAAAGGCTTAACTAGGTTAATTAGGCTAACTAGGCAGGTTAGGCAAGTTATTGTATAACGATGGTTTGTTCTGTAAACTATTAAGAAAAAATATAGCTTAAAGGGGGCTAATAATTTTGACCTTAAAATGGTTTTTAAAAAAGTTAAAACTGCTCTTATTTTTGCCAAAATAAAACAAATAAGACTTTCTCCAGAAGAAAAATATTATCAGACATATACTGTGAAAATGTCCTTGCTCTGTTAAACATCATTTGGGAAATATATATATATAAAAAAAGCATCAACTGTAAGTTTTGTTTGAACATTTTTATTGTCTTGTTTTGCAACATTTTTTCTTTATCAGACTAATGCATCTGATTTAGTTTTTATTTTACATTAAAACATTTTGTTTGAATGATTGATCTGTTTTTCTTTTTTGTTTTGATTCAAGTTAGTTTGATTTGTTTTATTTTGTGGTTTAATTTGTTTTATTTGTGGTTATTTGTTTTGGTCTATTATTATTATTGCATTCGAATACCTGTGCTGATAAAACAGCGTTGTGTGCGTTTAGGTTAGTTTATTTAAAAAATTTTTTTGGTTCATTATGTATTTAGTTTTGGTTTGATTTGGTTTTGTTTCATCTGATTTGCTTTTTGTTTTCATGGTAACATTTTAGTGTCTTGCTTTGCTTTGCTTTGCAACATCTATTGTTCTTCATCAGAATACTGAAACAAATATTGTTTCTATTTTACATTGAAACATTTTGTTTGGATGTTTGGTTTATTTTCGGTTCAGTTTTAGTCTTTTTTGTTTTAAAGCTCTTTTTTCTTTTGTTTTCTTTTGTGTTTTAGTTTGGTTTGCTTTACCTTGGAATCATTTTTTTTATTTCAATTAATTTTGGAACATTTTAGTTCGTCTTATTTTGTTGATTTCAGTTTTGTAGTGTTTCTTTATCCAGTTTTTATGTTGTTTTTGTTCAGTTTGTTGTTGTTTGCATTGCAATAATTTGTGCTTTTTAGTTTGTTTTTTAATCTAACATTTAATTATTAATCTAATAAACCAGTTTTTGTTTTGTTTTTATTTGAATGCTTTACATTTATTTCTAATTCACTTACATTTGTGTGCTTTTTTTCTGTTTTTAGTATTGTTTTGCATTTCAATTTATAACTTAATTTAATATATTTATTTTAATAAATTTATTTATTTGACTTTTTTTGGTTTAAGAAGTCTTGTGTATTTTTTGACATGCATGTAATAAAAACAGTCAAAAATCATCCTAGTAAAAAAAATTACCGTATGCAAAGTATTAACACATACAGTAGGCTACCAGAAACACATTTGCATGAACAAACATCACTCAACTTGAAGTAAATAAAACAACCCGGTGTATTCTATGCCTTTTAATGGAAGCACAAGGTCAGAGTAGTGTGATTGAACGCTATAACATTACACGCTTACCCTCACACACACACACCTGGAGAGCTTGGAATGATGCAGGCGACAGGAGCAGCACTCCATTGATATCCAAGACAGTTCTAGCGTAATGGTCTTTTGGCTTGTCATTTTGACGTGTGACTGTTGTTCTGCTAATGTAATTGCATTGCGCTCAAACTTTCCTCTTCCAAAATATATTTTTCAGTTTGTTGAAGTCCTTTTTCCTTTTTTCTGCTAAGAGAAATATACTCGCTAAGCACCGTGACCATTGTGTTTTCTTTTTTTTTTGTAGAAGTCTCACGCGGACGGTGGAGATTTCTGGAGACCATGGGCCTCTGGGAATCAAAGTCATACCGTACTGCTCTTCACTAAGTGGAAGGTAAAACACACACACACACACACACACACACACACACACACACACACACACACACACACACACACACACACACACACACACACACACACACACACACACACAAACACACACACACACACACACACACAAACACACACACACACACACACACACACACACACACACACACACAAACACACTAATACACCCTTTATGTCATATTTGATATTTGTTTATGTTGTTTTTTATATATTTTTATTTTTATTTATTTTTCTTTTTTATTTAATTTAATATTATTATCCTATTTTTTTTCTTTTCATTTATTTAATAATTTAAAAAAACATTTTTACATTATAATTTATACTATAATTATAAACATTATATTTATTTTTTTCTTTTTCAGTGTAGTTTTTTTCTTTTTCTTTTTCTTTTTAAATTATAATACAATATTTTCTTCCTTACAATTGGCCTTTGATGTTGTGTTCAAACCAGACGTGGCTTATGTGAATAAATCACGCTATTCATGTATAAATAGACGCGTGAACATTTTGAGTTTACTCACTTCATTTGCTGTCAAATTCACTTCACAGTAGACGCGGATTTGCGTCATGGGCAGGGCTTCTGTCTACTCGATGACTCTAGCTTTGTTGTTAAATGGCTAACATAAATTTTAATGAGAGAGTAGCTGTGCTTTATGTGCTTTAGGAAAGCTGAAAACTGTATATTTGCTCGGCGCCATGTCTGAGTCAGAGGTGCACCCAGCTCTGTGAGTTCTTCAACTCTTCCAGAAACCATACCTGGATGATGAAGGCTTTACCGTTGCTTCCGACTAAGCTAAGCCTAGTTTGATGAACTGTTGTCTGGTGTTGGCAGAAGGATTTCTCCTTGAGACACCAACAACAGACGCTACGTCATAATCACGCCCCTACAAGAGAAAATTCCTGATTGGTTAGCATAGTACGAATGTCAGCTGACGTTCAGACTTTCAAACTCGAGCGATTTGTGTGAAACTCATGCAGCATAACGCTATTCATGTTGTGTATTATTTGATTGAAAATATTTTTTAGTTTTTTCTTTTTATTGTTATTTATTTATTTGTTTAATTTCCTTTTAATATTGAATTTTTTCTTCCTTGTATTTGGCCTTTATTTTATTTAATCTTTCATTTGATAAAAATTTTGCTTTTTTAAAATTTTTTTTATATATATTTAAATATTTTTTTCTTTTTCATTATTATTATTATTTTTTATTTCCTATTAATATCCTTTATTTGTAATTTATTTAATTATTTTCTAATAAATTTTTTTATTTAATTAAATTAAATGTCAATATTTTTTCATTGGAATTTAAGTTTTTTTTTTTTACATTTAAAATATAGTTTAATTCAATTTAATTTTTTAATTAGAATTTAAGTTTTTATTATTTTATTATTTTTTATTTATTATGTAATTTAATTCAATTTAATTTCATTGTTTTTTTCATTAGAATTGAAGTTATTTTATTTTATAATTTTTTATTTAATATATAATTTAATTAAATTTAATTTCATAATTTTTTCATTATAATTGAAGTGTATTTTTACTTTTACATTTTTTATTTAATATATATTTACATTAAATTTAATTTCATAATATTTTTATTAGAATTTAGGTTTTTATTTTTTCATTATTTTCTTATTTATTATATATGTAATTCAAAATTAATGTCATTATTTTTATGATAAAATTTAAGATTTTATTTTATGATTTTTTTAATTCAAAACATAATTGAATTCAATTTAAATTTGCAATTTTTTCATTCAAATTTATGTTTTTATTTTATTTTATTATTTTTAATTAATGTATTATTATTTTCTGTAACTTGAATTATTATTTTATTATATTGAATATCTTTACAATTATTTTGTAATTCACGCTTTAATTTATTTCATTCTAATCATAATATACGTTTTTGGCATGTCTTGTTAGATTTTGGTCAAGGTAAGATTCTTTAAGTTAATTTAAAATATAACAAAATGTAAATAAAATCAGTGTGCTTATGTTTTACATTATAAAGCAGTAGCATCAACTTATGTCACATTTATAAAAATTATTTAGGCCGTTGAACAGTTTCACCTTCCTAATTTCAGTGTTATTAGTCAGCATCCTTATGTTCCTCACAGTCACACACAAACACACACACGCACACGCAGGAAGCAGTGAGGTGAATGGCTCTTTCAGACGGCATGAACAGGTCAAAAGTGAAGTGCTCAGGGCAAGGACACACACACACACGTGCTGCAGGACAGGAAGTTCTCTCTGACCTGCTGCCTGCTGTTGGGTCTTTGCACCCTGTTGAGGTCCGGATGGAAATGAAGCTTTCTCGGTTGGTGGGCAGAGCTGTGGGCTGGCCTGCTGAACTGTGTTTTAGGGTGTGCAGGTCTCACAGGAAACCCCAAAGTCTTGAAGGAAATCAAATTCTGCATTTAGCTTATTTTCCCCTCTTATCACAGCATTTATTATTGACTAACTTTGTGCAGGGTCATTATTGATCAATAAAATCAAAGCTGAATTATTTTTTCGGTACACGAAATGAAATAAATTGAACTATACTACTGTTTTATTTCAGCTTATTGCCAAAAATCTAATATAATCTAATATTTGCTGTCATTCAACAACCCTTATGCTCATCTAATATCTTTAACCTGATCTGTATCTGTCCACCATCAGGACTCTGGGTCTGAACATTCGAGCCATTGAGAAGAACAGCCGCTCAGAGAGAGAGAAGATCTTTGAAGAGGACGAGTGCATCGTGCAGATCAATGACGCCGAGTTAATAGACAAGTCCTTTGCTCAGTGAGTGTCTGACTCTTTCATCCGTCACGCTTTCACTGGATTACTAATCATCCCCCCGCTCTCTTTCTCTCCATTCTCTTCTTTCATTATCCGTCTTCTGTGTTGTTTTCACTTTTATACGCTCCTACTTGAACGCCGCCAACACTACGGGAACAAACCTTTTTGTCATCCCTGTTTTTTCCATCTATCCGTCTGTCCTCGCAGAGTTTCAGAACTATAACTTTAACATAACAAAAGAGAAATGCTTTTCTGTCGCTACAAGTGTGAATTGCCCCATTAAGTGGCATCAGCAGTATCGGACAGCCTTCAAAAAGGCCGACAGATTAAACCAAGTGCTACTATTAGAGGAAGAGTTCCTGAAACGGCTATGAGAGTTAAAGGATTTGAAGTAGAAAAGAAAAAAGACTGCAATTCAGTCAGTTTTTCTCCTCTGACGGCGTCCTGAACTGAACTCTGACTGGTTTTCTCAACACATTTAAAGGAACGTTGTGCTCTTGACAGCACTTTAGGTGATATTAGCCATTATGTGTGTTTTTTTTTTGTACTTTTTGTTTGTTACACATTACTTTTTTATGATTTTTTAAATAATCAATCACATTTAAAAACTGATATTACTTTGTTTTCATTTAGGATTTTCATTAAAGTACATTTTAGTTCCATATTAGTGCTGTTGCTGTTTGTAATAAGGACATTTAAAGCAGTAATTGTTAGTTACAGAGACATTGGTTTATGTAAGATCAAAATATGTTATTAAACTATTATTTTTATGCAACAGTCAGGTTGCGTGTTAATTTGCTATGTGAAGAAAAGGAAATAATTTATTTTTAGCATGCTGATTTATGGGAAATCATGAATATAGGTCTATATAATCACCTTGCAATTTTGAAAGTATTGCTCCTTTTTTGCTTTGAGCAGGCTATCCAGTTCATAAGATCAGGTCAAACTTTTTTTTAAAATTAAAATCAGTTGTATACTGTGTAAAAATTATAGGTGGGCATAGGTAAATTTGAATTCTGCCGAAGGCATTCAGAATATGTGTGCCACTGCTACCCAAATAATAAGTCTTTGAGAGCGGGTTTCCAAGCCAGGTGGCGCATTAGACCAGGGGCTCATCTCCTGTTTCCAAAATGCATCACTAACTGCTTGAGAAACTGTTCTTCTGTGAAAATTGGTGATGAAAATAAATGATGTTCAATAAGATGTACTTGTGTTTACTAACTGTTTATTCAGTTAAAAGTGAATTTTGAAGTGTAGGCCTACATAAGCTGCACACACCGATTATTTTTAAATTTTTTTTATTATTATTATTATTTTTATTATTATTATTTTATTTTTTTTTATTTAATTTAATTAATTTATTTTTATTTTTTATTAATTATTTTTTATTTTTTTATTAATTTTATTTATTTATTTATTTATTTATTTATTTATTTATTGTTTTTAAATTTTATTTTTTAAATTTATTATTATTATTTTTTTATTTATTTGTTTATTTATTTATTTTTTATCACCTTATTTTGACTAAAGTCATAACTGAACTAAACTGAAATGGAATTAAGACATGTGGAGTATGCAGATATTAGTGGCATTATTGAAGTAAACACTGCAATCAGTAAACATCGTCATGTAAGACTTTTCGCCATATTTTCTGACAAGATCCACACACGCAGCTGTCACTAAAGGACTGCACAAACACACACGCATCGCGAAATGGGAAGTTTTTTTCTTTCCATTTGGCATGCGTTTCCATAACACTCACCACCAGTTCTTACTCCTTATATGCGTCTAATACCCCAGTTTGTCACGGGGGCATAAATGAAATGTTCATGAGTGAAAGTGAAACTGTCGAACTGCAGTTAAAGTCAGGCATCCTGCTGATTTAATTCAGAAGGGCACTTTTTTGGCTCACTGGTCAGGTATACGTCTGCGCTAAAATATCAAGGTAAAAGTCATCATAGCTTGGGTAGAATAGACTCAGCTCCCAACCCAACTTTGAGAATAGATTAACAGCGATTATTTTTTTTTATCGCGCTAAAAAAGTGTTACGTTAACGCAGCAGGTTAACGCTGATAACAACCCACCACTCGTAAAAATATTAAATTTTTTAATGTTAATATTTATCAGCTATAGTATATCGGTTATCAGCTTCCAAATCTTAGGAGTTGTCCATATTGACATCGTTCAAAAAACCTATATCGGTGCACCTGATATATAAGAATTTAAACCTGACAAGATTTTAAGATGCATGTAGATAGTTTTTTTGGTATTGCTAGTGTAACTGAACAATTGATTTCACATTGTCGTTTTACACTGCTCATGCTCATCTTTCTTTTAAATATTCTGGGGCGATGCTATGGAATAAACTGCCAGTGGATATTAAAAGTATTACAAATGTGGTTAGTTTTAGTTATTAAAGCAGATTGTATGTTGATGAATTTTAAAGTATGGTTTAATGGTTATTTGTGATTTACATTTACTTTGTCAGTGTATACGTGCTACCGGGAGTAGTATAATCTGTACTTCACATCAAAGACCACAATGGAAATAAGTTTTGTTTTTAAAACTTTATTATTATTAGTAGTAGAAGTAAAACTTTATTGTCTTTGACAGGAAATTTGTTATGGGCATCGCCATATTGCTGCTGACATTCACTAAAAACAAGCAATAAAAACAATACAAAATAAAATATTGTGTATATCCTTGACTAATTAAGTGTATTAATTTATTTCTTGTCAAAAAAAATTATGAATATCGATGATCAAATTATTTATTGCGCAGCCCTACTTTCAACATCTTTGTAATTTTGCCATTTGTAATCGTGTCTCCTGCATTACAGAACAGTAACATAAGGTTTCTCTTTTTGTGATTTCAGGTCTCAAGAGGTCTTCCGCCAGGCGATGTCCTCCTCCTCTACGTCTACTGTACATTTAGAGGTGCTTCCTGTTGCAAACAAGCTACGCTACGAAAAGAGCCTCATCGGACAGCTCTTCAACAGCACCGAAACAAACCCTGCGGTTCCTAAAATCAAGAGTCCCTTCTTGGTTCGTAAACTTACTCCAAGTAATACAGCGACGCCGTCGCCTGAGCCTGCTGCCTCACAAACCCCACCCATAAAGGAGGAGGAGCTTCAACGTGCAAGACACACCCCCGTTGAGTTGAATCATCAGAGCAGCACACCTTCTCCTCCCGTCAGCACATCACCTACACTGAGGGATCACAGTGAAAGCCCGGCTCTCGCTTCAGTGGTTCATATGGTGACCAAAAAGGCTGGGAAGAGAATGAGGATTGATTTGAAGAAAGGTAAGAGGGATGGCAAATCACTTCTGATGAGTTCAAGAAAAGTCATTAGGAATGTATAGGTATATGTGTTTGAATGGTCACGGTTTATGCGCTCCAACAATGAATACAGTCAGTCCACATATAAAGTCTAGTCACTGGAGTGAGGCAGTACGAAATAGTTCTGCCATGTCATCCTGCAGCCCAAGACTGGCTACTCACTGAAGCTAAGCAGGGCTGAGCCTGGTCAGTACCTAATGGGAGACCAGTAGAAAACTAGGTTGCTGTTGGAAGTTGTGTTAGTGAGGCCAGCAGAGGGCGCTCAACCTGTAGTCCGTGTGAGTTCTAACGCCCCAGCATAGTGAAGGGGATCCTATACTGTCAGTCGTATGTTAACCCGAGGTCTTGACTCTCTGTGGTCATAAAAATTCCATGGCGCTTCTAGGGGTGTAATCCTGGTGTCCTGGTCGAATTCCCTCCATTGGCCCTAGCCCATGATGACCTCCCAATCATCCCTATTCACTGAATTGGCTCTATCACTGTCTCTCCACTCTCCCAATAGCTGGTGTGTGGTGAGCGCACTGGTGCCATTGTCCTGTGGCTGCTATCACATCATCCAGGTGAATGCCACACACTGGTGGTTGTGTGGAGAGACCCCCCTCATGATTGTGAAGTGCTTTGTGTGTATGGCCATACACAATAAATGCACTATATAAATACACATTACATTACATATTGCTGTTGTCATTTCAACTTAGTTCACAGAGCTCGCCTTTTCTGTACCCGTATCAAACGGTGACCCCACAACTGAGGTATGTACTGAACTGTGAATTCAGTGAACTGTTACACCCCTAACAGACAGCATTTCTGTATGAATTCATACACTGTAACACAGTCATTTTTTTATGATCAATTAGTTATGACAACATATGTATTTGGTTCATTGTAACTTGTTAAAGTTAATCATGTTTTAACTTATTTTGTATAAGTTATGCAAGCTATTTTAAATCAGTTTAACAAAATACAAGTTCAATGGACTTTCAAGGGTGATTTGATTAAGCCTAAAAATAAAAGGCAACCAGGATTTGTTTTTTTACAGTGTAGGGATACTTAGCTTTTTTTGGCCAATAAAACTAACAATTTCTTGTCATCATGTTGATCCTGATGCCAATCATGCAAGCTTTATAAAATAAATATATGAAAGCTTTCTGTTGGCCGTCCTGTTGACTTGCAGGCCAAAAACGACCCATAAAATTTATAATATAATTTCAAATAAAATTAAACATAAAAGATGTATTTTTATATGGAAAAATTTCTTCCTCAATATTTTTTGTGCACACAGGGGCAGCGCGTCCATAGAGGCGACCTAGGGCGGCAGAATAGAGAGGGTAGCCTAGACACTACCCTCACCTCTCGCACCCTCAGTTATATCCGCGTCTAGGGCGGCATCCGTGACACTACCCTCACCACCCGCGCCCTCAGTTATATCCGCGTCTGGGGTGGCAGAATAGAGATGGGGCGTCCGCGACAGTTCCCTCGACAACCCCCCTCCCCCAATCCCTCCACCACCCTTCCACCGCTTTCACTTTAGGCTTGAGGGTGGCGTGACCGTCCTTTGCCTAGAGTGGCAGTTCAGCTTGCTCCGGCCCTGTGCGCACAGAATTCTGAGACAACACAAGGGTTAACTGATGGTTCAGATTTTTTTTGATAAATTAATACCACTGATTTTAGTTTGGGTATATTATTTACTTTAATATTAAATATTTTTGTTGTAACTATGAAACAAATAATAAATAGATAAACTTTTTACTTTAAAGTCACTTACATTTAACATTTTACAACAGGGTTTTACCTGAAACACTATTCATATTCATTAATTCATTCATTCATTTTCTTTTCGGCTTAGTCCCTTTGTTAAACTGAATTCGCCACAGCGGAATGAACTGCCAACCTATCCAGCACACATATATATATATTGTCAACATCTCAAAAAATGTGCTTTGGTGTTCCTGACCCTTTAAGAAGAGTAAATTGTGATTTTATTCAAACTTCAAGTGTATGAAAACGTAATATGTGAACATCTCCTAAGTGGAATTTCATGTTGATTTTGAGCTTGAATTGTGAAATCTCCATCCGGTTGACCATAAGGTTGAGCCACGAGCCGTGTGATTTAACCCATGTCAGAACTGCAGCAGAGCACCGTCTGTACTTGTTCTCTCCTGCTTTTCCCCTTTCACCTTTCTGCCTTTATCATTCCCCTCGGCTGATTGACAGCTGCTATTGTTTAAAACTTTAATGTCAGCTGCTCTTCTGGGACTGGAGATTTCATCATTTGCCATCTTTAGTATGCTGGATTGTCCGCTATCCTCTATGACATCTCTCACTCAAGTGTGTGTGGGAGAGAGAGGGAGCAATTCTCAGCTTCAATGAGCACACGTGTCCCTGCAGATGAGAGGCTCAGGGGAAACGCTATCTTAGCATGATTCTTTAAGCCTTTTTTCCTCCTTTCTTCTTTTATTGCATTTCTGGGTGCATCTCATGAAACATATTCAGGTCTCATTTCACCCCCAAATTAAAGGCAATGAATTTGGATGACTGTTTATTTATGTTATTTTATAAAAAGTACAAACAATTCCTAAAATTTGCAGTGCTGTAATGTACAAGTGTATCAGTCTCATTGCCAATATAATGTCGTAATTGTGGAATAATAGTACTCTGTTGTGAAGGTGAAGTGAGTATGTTGTTATTTTACTTGTCTGATTTAACATGAATAAATAATATAAACGAATAAATAAAAAAATAAATAAATGGATGAACAAGCAAACAAATCAACAAACAATCAAGCAATCCAGTTTTACTAGCATATTATAGTTGGAAAAAACGAAATATTTTTATTTATAAAATGTGTTATTTATAAAAATCTAAAAATGTTTTAAATAGTAATAAGTTTGCAATAATACATAATAAAAATACATCCAATTAAAAAAAAAATATATATAATTGTTATAGTTATAGTTATATATAAGTATTTTAATATATGCGTTGAATGTTAAAATAAATTTACATTTGTATTTAATGAATATGTAAATTAATAACATTATTTGTATTGTTTATACAAATAATAAAAATGCATCAAATTTAAAATAAATATAATTTTATAATTATATTGTAACTAAATATTATGATGTATGCATTGAATGTTAAAATAAGTTTACATTTGTTTAAATAATATTAAACAAATATGAAGTTTATTAAATAATAATAATAATAATAATAATAATAAATAAAATAATAAATAATTTCGCAGCAATAAATAATAAAAATACATCAAATTTAAAATAATTATAATTGTTATATTCATACTGTAACTAAATATGATAATATATGCGTTAAATGTTAAAATAAGCTTTGATTTGTATTCAATAAATATATAAATTAATAACATTATTTGTATTATTTATATTTACAAAATGTGGTATTTTTAAAAATCTCAAATTTAATTAAATGATAATAAACAAATAAAAAAAATTTATTAATAATAAATAATTTTGCAGCAATAAATAATAAAAATACTTCCAATTTAAAACAATTGAATTGTTATATTTAAACAGTAACTAAATATTAGAATGTATGCATTGAATGTTAAAATAAATTCACATTTGTATTTAATAAATAAATATATAAATTAATAACATTATTTGAATGCTTTGGAGCGATGATTTACAAATGAAAAAAATAAAATTGTAGTATTCCTCCTGTACAGGAAATAAAATATATATTAAAATATTAATATTCATGCTTTGAATATTAAATTAAATATAAATGTGTTTGCAGTAAACTTTTTAAAATGACAAAACAAATATTATAGTAATGATAATCTAAATATTTATAAAATTCATTATGCTGTGTATGCAATAAATTTGATGCAATACATAAAAATGCATTTAAAAATAACAAATTCATACTTATTTTATGATTTGAATATTAAAACAAATAGTTCATGTTCCATAAATATACCCCTCTTCATATTTAGTAGAAATGTGACCCTGACATGCTTTTTAAGGCGTATTCTTTCAGCTTCCTCTTTTCCACTGCTTTCCACTTCCTCTCATCATTTTATTTTTCGGACCACACCTTTTGTCATTGTTTCCATCTCTCCTCTTTCACACCATCTCTCTCCCTCTCTTCTCATCCTGTATCCTGCTCTCTGCTGTAGATGTGTTCACGTGTGAAATTAAAGTGCAGAGCTGTCTAATCCCCGTAAGGAAACATTTATCAACGTGCAGGGGTGGAGACGAGCCGGAGGTGCTCAAACCGCTGCCGAGAAACCCACAGCTTAAACACAGGCTATCAGTCCAGAGCCTCCGTCAGTGCACTGTTGACCTTTTGACCTCAGCTCAGATCAGATGAGTTTGATACAGTCTGCTAGAGCTGCTCCCTGTATGCTTGCATTATATTGGACTATATATACAGCGGAGAAGATAAGTATTGAACATGTCATGTTTTTTTTCCCTGGGAATAATAAAGGTGCTGTTGACTTGGAACTGAACCAGATTATGTTAAAATGCCAAACAATGCAAACATAAAAACAAAACAATCTGAAAAATGAGTTCAGTGGAATAACAATAGAATGGCACAAGGAGATCGTACAGAACTACTGAAATAAATTCAATACCCTAAATAAAATGGCAGCTTAAAGACAACTCTCATATGGAGAATAAAGTCACATACATTGCTCAGGTGTGAGTTTTTCCACAGATTTCAAAAGAGTGTAAAAATCCTGATGATTCTGTGGGTCTCATCTGTCAAATCTGAGCTTAAATTAGTATTTTCTGTCGGATTTGGATCAGGTGAATGGCTGGGCCATTCTACAGCTTGATTTTCTTTCTCTGAAAGCATTTGAGAGTTTCCTTGGCTGTGTTTCGGATCATTGTCTTGATGAAATGTCCACCCTGGTTTCATCTTAATCATTTGCTAATGTATATGTTGGAATGAATCAGCTAATATTCATTTACACAAACGAAGGGCAGAAGGTTGCTAAAGAACTGCTGAAGAGAGATTTCAGCTGCTGTCTGGGCTTTCACTGTCTTTCTACATCTCCCTTTCTTCATATGTTCAATACTTTTTCCCTGCGTCATTTCGTTTTATTATGCACTAAATGTATTTTATTAAGCTTCATTTGTAAATTAATTAGTTTAGTTTTCTTTGCATATATGGATTTTTTTCGTTGTTACCAACATCCAGGCAAAATTTCAAGTCAACAGCGCAGTTAGAAATATGTTTTCTGAGAAAAATAGTGCCGTGTTTAATACTTATTATTTCTGCTGTAAAATAATGCATTACAGTAATTGGAATTTTAAAAAAAATTAAATAATGTAAATAATTTAGAATAACAAAATATTACTATCTATCCATTGAATATTGGATTGATTTGAATAGTATAACTTCATCTTCACACTGTGGTAAAAAAACTGAGGCACCATACCCAATATCCAAAACACACTTCCTTCTTGCACTTATGTGGTGATGGATATGTATGCTGATGTTTATAAATATGTGAAATGTGTTGGGGGGGAAAAAGATTTTATAATAAAACTATATTATTCAAATCAATTAAAAAATATTCAATGGATATATAGTTATATTTAGTTATATGTTATATTATGTTATATATGATATATATATATATATATATATATATATATATATATATATATATATATATATATATATATATATATATATATATATATATATATATCATATATATATATCATGTTATTATTTTCATATTTGTTGTGTAAGTGTTTAGATAAAATTTATTAGATACTCATTTCATCTGTAATGCTTAATTTTACTATTTAAAAGACATGAATAGTAAAATATGGTAATATTTATATATTTGTTTTTTACGTAAAAAGAACTTTCATTGATATTATTTTTGACAAAACTTAAATATTAAAGATAAAAATCTAATTTAAATGTTTGTTTTTTGCATTCTGAATTTTATTCACAGTTTGTTTGACAGGTTTTAAACTGAAGAGCACTGGAAAAAAATCAAACTTGTTTCTCAATTTTTTTAATTTACTTTTATTTTACATTTGAATTTATTATATATTACTTATTTTATTGTATTTTACATAGAATTTTAACCTTATTATATATTATATATTTTAAATTTTTTTTATAAAATATAAACTTTATGTACATAAATGTTTAAATTTAATTTAATTACATTTTTATATATTTTATTTTATATTTTATAAATGTTATATTATCTTATATATTTGTACAGATTGTATTACTTCTTTTCTTTTGTAGATAAAAACTTAATGTACATAAACATTTTAAATCATTTACATTTTAAAACTAGATATAAAAGCTTTTTTATTTGTACATTTTTAACATTTTAAAACTGGTTTAATTTTTATTTGATAATACAATGAACGTACAGTAAGCGTACACTGTTTCTTGTAACAGGAACCTTTGAATAATTTTATTTTAAATCATACAATACTATAAAATCTGCTTAAAAATTGGTGTGGCCTTTGTTTTCCTGACTTTTGAGCATACAGCAAACTAGTAAAACCCTAAGACTCCATTTGTCTGCTTCATTGGGTCATTAAATGCATGTTGAATGTTTCTGACCTCTGTCTGCAGGTACGGAGGGCCTCGGTTTCACTGTGGTAACCAGAGACTCGTCCCTTCATGGTCCAGGACCCATTATGGTCAAGAGCATCCTGCCCCGCGGAGCTGCTGTGAAAGATGGCCGGCTCAAGTCTGGAGACCGAATCCTGGAGGTATTACATGCTTCCATCACCAGAGAAATGCAAAATCGCAGCTTATTTATAAGACATTAAATGATGCTATTCCTATGCCAGTCATGCGATTTAAAAAGGCATTGCTTTAACACTAGAACAGCCAGGGGTCATTGTATACAGTTGAAGTCAGAAATTATTTGCCTTCCTTAATTATTAACCCCCCTGTATATTTTTTCCCCAATTTCTGTTTAATGGGGAGAAGATTTTTTTCAACACATTTATAAACATAACAGTTATAATAACTCATTTATTTATCTTTGCCATGATGACAGTACATAATATTTAGGTGTTTTTCAAGATACTAGTATTCAGCTTAAAGTGACATTTAAAGGCTTAACTACACTAACCGGCCATTTTATTAGGTACACCTTACTAGTACCAAGTTAAATCCACTTTTGCCTTCAGAACTGCCTTAATCCTTCATGGCAAAGATTCAACAAGGTACTGGAAATATTCCTCAGAGATTTTGGTCCATATTGACGTTATCGTATCATGTAGTAGCTGCAGATTTGTCGGCTGCACATCCATGATGTGAATCTCCTGTTCCACCACATCCCGAATGTGCTCTATTGGATTAAGCTCTGGTGACCGTGGAGGCCATTTGAATATCTGCTTGTGAAGTGGTGACGTATGTAATACTGTTTCCGGGTCCAAGCCGCCATTCATTTGAGTGGAGAAATCATTTGTTTATGATCACGTTTTATTTCTATCACACATTAAAGTTAATTTTATATAAAGTCATAGTGTACACAACAATCTCTGGGCTTGCTGCATAACAAATACCAAAAATTTAACAATTTATAGAAAAAATGAATTACTGTCTGGCCATCGGATATTAGACATGGACATACATATTGCGATCGTGATTTTCGAAAGTATTAAATCGCTCTGTAAATGTTTATTATTACCATTTCATGAGTCTCTCCATTCATTTGAATAGAGCGCTTGGACCAGGAAGCCGCTTCGCGTGACGTCACACTTAACAAGCGGATAGTGAACTCATTGTCATGTTCCTTGTATTGTAGAATTGTAGCCTCAGTTTACTGTTCTTAACTGAAAGGAGTGGAACCCGGTGTGGTCTTCTGCTGCTGTAGCCCATCCGCCTCAAGGTTGGATGTGTTGTGTGTTCAGAGATGCTCTTTTACCTCAGTTGTAACCATTGGTTCTTTGAGTTACTGTTGCCTTTCTATCAGCTGGAACCAGTCCGGCCGTTCTCTTCTGGCCTCTGCCATCAATAAGGCATTTGCTTCCACAAAACTGCCGCTCACTGGATATCTTCTCTTTTTCTGGCCATTCTCTGTAAACCCTACAGGTTTGGTGTGAAAAACTCAGTAGATCAGCAGTTTCTGAAACACTCAGACCAGCCCGTCTGGCACCAACAACTATGCCACAATCAAAGTCACTTAAATCACCTTCCATCCCCATTCTGATGCTCGGTTTGAACTGCAGCAGATCGTGTTGACCATGTCTACATGCCTAAATGCATTGAGTTGCTGCCATGTGATTGGCTGATTAGAAATTTGCGTTAACATGCAGTTAGACAGGTGTACCTAATAAAGTGGCCGGTGAGTGTAGGTTAGATTTTTCCAATATCTCACAGCCCTACTGTCTGTCACATTGTATCTGGCCATGAGATTAATTAAACATGACCCGTGTTGGATCTTGGCACAGTGTAAATGGGAATATGGTTCTGCTAATTTGAAGGTTAAAATGAATGGGTTTTTTCTGTTACTCTAGGTAAATGGAGTGGACATCACTGGACGAACACAAGAGGAGCTGGTGGCTATGCTGAGGAGCACCAAACTAGGAGAGACCGTGTCCTTGATAGTGGGAAGACAAGAAGAGTTTTTGCCCAGAGAGCTGGTAAGAACAAAGTTTAACAATTAGGGGTATTTTTATAGCAAAGACTATAGAATATACAAGACATGTCTCTCATGTAGTTTTGAATAGGGAAAAGTGTAACAGTCAATATGGCGAATGAAGCCCCGCCTACTAATCCAGGAGCCAATCATTGATCGCTATAGACTAACGATTCGATGGGGGAGGGGCGATTCAAAAGTTCATTCATTCATTTTCCTCAGTGTTGGGCAGTAGCGTCGCTACAAGAAGTGACGCTACTAGCTTAACTACATTTCTCAGTAGCGTGGCTGGAGCGTCGCTACTTTCTATATCAAAAAGCTTTTCAGTAGCGAAGCTATTTTATTAGTCAAGTAGCGCAGTAGCGTCCACAAAGCTACATTTACAGATCGCGGATCAATAAGTGACGGCACAGACATTCACGGAGATGTGAGGCCGGTGTGTAGCCAGTGATAGTAAATCCATATGATGGCTAAAATTAGGAATTCTTCTTCTTCCTGTTTTATGGTGTTCGACAACAAACTTTTTGGTGCGTTACTGCCACCTCTGGTTGGCGATGTCGCCAACCGAAACTTGCTTGATGGAAAGATGACTGAGGGAGAGGAGTTATTTCTGAAGCAGGACTCCTTGTGAACATACCTCGAGAAGTACATGTTAAGATGCAATAATTTATTTATATATTATTCCAAAACATTCCCTTTACTATAGTATTTGTTTCTGTTTAGTACAGCTTATTATTTACAGTAAATAACTGAACTGAACTACTCTGCCTCATATGGTTCATTGGCAGTTTTATTGATCACTAAGATATGATTGACTTGGATTTAAGTTGCTTTGATTTCAAAATAAAATTTGCAAAAATAGCTTGGATGTAGCTAAGCTACTTTTGCCTTGTAGCTTTTAGCTTAGCTTACATTTCCTAGCGGGTAGCTTTCAGAGTAGTTAAGCTACATTTTAAATAGAGTAGCTAATAGCTTAGCTCACTACATTTTTCAAGTAGCTTGCCCAACACTGATTTTCCTTCGACTTAGTCTCTATTTCAGAGGTCGTCACAGTGGAATGAATCGTCAACTATTTGTTTTACACAGCAGATGCCCTTCTAGCCGCAACCCAGTGCTGGGAAACACCCATAAGCACTCATTGACACACACAATCAGAAACTACATCCAATTTAGTTCATCCGATTCACCCATAGCGCATGTCTTATGGATAAAACTACATTACCCATGATGCTGTGCAGAAAATTCCCCCAGGGAGTCACACCTTAAAAAGATCAGAAGGAACAATAAATGCTGTAATGGAAACGTTTGCTTTCAAACAACCAAGCAAACAAATAAACTAACACACATGTACGGCGACTAAATCATCCAGACAAATCGATAAAAGCCCATCATTCTCCTCTCTTCCACTGAATGTGTTGAATCAGCTTGTGACAGGAAGTTGTGCACACGACTCAGCAGTTTGACAGGAAGTCTTGGTCCATCTCCTCTGCCAGATGTTGTATGTGTGTTTATTACTGACCCCCTTCAAAGCACCTCTGTTTGTCTTCCAAACATCAGATCTATGTTCAAATCCAAACACTCATCACGGGAAGATGAAGCACATCCCTTCATTGTGTCTCTGTCTATCTTCAGTTCATTTGCACTGCAGTGTCTGCCTATCAAAGGCTTTGGGCTTAGACGGGTCACTTACAATGTATTTGCCTGTTATGCATGGGATGCCAAATATTTTTTAATCACTCTTGGTGACAGTCATTTCTTCCATGCATTACTTCCTCAATTACGTTTTTTCATATCGGAGAATACATACAGCAGGTGTTGCAAGTGCTTATACTAGAAAAAAGTATTATTCTGTCGTTTGTGAACGGTTCTAAGGCTCTGTTAAATCTGTTTTATCTATCTATCTATCTAAATCTGTTTTGTATATGTATATGTGTATATATATATATATATATATATATACATATATATATATATATATATATATATATATGTATATATATATATATGTATATATGTATATATATATATATATATATATATATATATATATATATATATATATATATATATGTATATGTTTATGTATATGTTTATGTATATATATATATATGGCGAGACAGTGGCGCAGTAGGTAGTGCTGTCGCCTCACAGCAAGAAGGTCCAAAGACATGCGGTACAGGTTAATTGGGTAGGCTAAATTGTCCGTAGTGTATGAGAGTGTGTGTGAATGTGTGTGTGGATGTTTCCCAGAGATGGGTTGCGGCTGGATGGGCATCTGCTGCGTAAAAACTTGCTGGATAAGTTGATGGTTCATTCCGCTGTGGCAACCCCAGATTAATAAAGGGACTAAGCCGACAAGAAAATGAATGAATGAATGAATGAATGAAAATATACAGTTGAAGTCAGAATTATTAGCCCCCTTTTGATTTTTTTTTCTTTTTTAAATATTTCCCAAATGATGTTTGACAGAGCAAGGAAATTTTCACAGTATGTCTGATAATATTTTTTCTTCTAGAAAAAGCTTTATTTGTTTTATTTCGGCTAGAATAAAAGCAGTTTTGAATTTTTTAAAAACTATTTTTGGGACAAAATTATTAGCCCCTTTAAGCTATTTTTTTTTTCGATAGTCTACAGAACAAACCATCATTATAGAATAACTTGCCTAATTACCCTAACTTGCCTAGTTCACCTTATTAACCTAGTTAAGCCTTTAAATGTCACTTTAAGCAGTATAGAAGTGTCTTGAAAAATATCAAGTTAAATATTATTTACTGTCATCATGGCAAAGATAAAATAAATCAGTTATTAGAAATAGGTTTTTAAAACTATTATGCTTAGAAATGTGCTGAAACAATCTTTCCTCCATTAAACAGAAATTCGAGAAAAAAATAAACAGGGGCGCTAATAATTGAGGGGGGCTAATAATTCTGACTTCAACTGTATATATATATATATATATATATATATATATATATATATATATATATATATATATATATATATATATATATATATATATATATATAATTTTTTTTTTTTAATCAGAGAAGAGTTTTTGTTATATAAACATTGATGAAGTATTTTGTTGATTGTTTGCTGTCTCAGATAGATGTCTTGAAGAAGAGCAGCTGTATGTCATTGACTCTGACTATTATTGGACCATTAATTCTTGTTAGGCACAAAAAGCATCATAAAGAGCGGCTCTGCAGTATCTATTCAGAGAAAAACCTCCTCCATTTTGCCACCCTATTCAAATTCAAAGTGGGTTAGCTGTGCCACTGCTTAGCCAGGGTAAATTATGGCAGAAATGCGACGGCAGGCAAAAGAAAAAAAAAATGACACACTCGGGAGAAATATTTCTCTTTTCAGAAAATGGAAGAGTATGAAAAGATATAATGACAGTGTTGAGGAGATTTCACCATCTGTCTTTTCAGAGGATATGAGTGTGTGCGCGCATGTACGTGTGTGTGTGTGTGTTTCTATTTAATTCCAAATGCATGCATCTAAACCTGAAATACCCTCCATAAACACCCACCTTCATACAGTATTAATCAGTTTCTTTAACCACCCACTGTCAACATGAAATATACGGTCTTAATTCCCAAAGGCAGATTTGGCTAATGATCAGCCATTAGCAAAAATAAAGCATCTTTTATAACAGTCTTCTGGACTCCAGCATGGCAGACACCATAAATGTCCATCCTGTTGGCGGTTAGCGGTGTCCGTTTAGAGATGGAGCAGTCGGCGTGGCTTGTGTTTGGAGATTGTTGACAGAGTTAAAGCCTTGTTTTTCTGACTCCAGTCCATTGGGATTGAGTCTCTGTGCTGATGATGTGTTGGTGACTGGATATCCTGTATGTACACATCACATATGTCGTCAAAATGTCTGGCTCTGCTGGAAAAATCCTAATAAAATGATCAGATGCTGCTAAGCTGGTTAACTAAGAAAAGTTTGGTTTGATTTTGAATAATAATCAGCAGAGATTAATTAATTACATTTTTTTTTGTAGATGAGGGGAAGGTATATCACAGAATCTAGTCATGAAAATGGTTGTGGATGGAAAGTGGCAACATTTGGATGAATACATCAAAATATTTTAAATCAAAGTTTAGTAGCAGTTTATGCCAGTCATAAAAACTGTAAAGACTGCATAAAGACTGCATAGTCCCCCTAAAAGTACTATTTTATGCTGTTAAATTGTTTTGTTTTTGTTTTTATTTTTTGTTTTGTTTTGGAGTTTTATGTACAAAAATAATACATTTTATTCTATTTTATTTTAGAGATAAAAACTTTGCATATAAATATTTTATTTAAATTTATAGTATATATTTTACAGGGAAATTTAAATTGTAACAAAAAAGAAAAGAAAGAGATTTTGTTTTAGAGAAGTTTTATTTTTTTTATTTAAACTCAATTATTTTATTGTAGAGATAAAATCTTTAGGTACATACATATTTTATATTATTTTATTTCATTTTATTTTATTTTTACACATATATTTAAATTATAACAAAAAGGAAAAATAAAGATTTCCTAAAAATAAAATTTTATGTTCTATAATTGTAAGAATTAGTTTGATAAAATTTTATTTTGAATTTAATTTAATTACATTTTTCTTTAGATAAAAGTTTTACGTACAAAAATTATTTAAATATTTTGTTTAAGTATTTTATTGTTTTTTATTATAGTTAAAACCACATACCTATTTTTAGAAATAAAATCTTTATTTTTATAAATATTTTAAATTATTTTATTTTATTTTATTTTGCAGAGAAATTTAAGTTATGGAAAAAAATGGAAAAAAGAAAGATTTACTAAAAATAAAATTTCATGTTGTTGAATTGTAAGAATTTATTATTTTGTATTATTTTTTATTATTTTATTCTATTTTATTTTATTATGTTTTTAGAGATAAAAGTTTTCCGTACATAAATAATTAATTTTATTGTATTTTATTTTAAAGATAAAATCATTATTTACATTAATAGTCAATATTATTTTTT